GACAAAAACTTATACCTGTGTGACCGGCCCACTGGCTCAGGCAGTGGAGACAGGCACAGCAGCCAGGAGGCGGGGAACAGCTCTTTCCTATCCCCAGGCACCAATATCGCTCCCCTGCGACCCCCGACATTGCTTCAGGGCCTCAGAAGCTCCAGAATAGAGCTTCTGGACACTAGAGGGCACCATATACAAACATGAAACGCCAAAGGAACCTTGTCCAGAGCGAAATTGTTAATACAACTCCTGAGAAAGATTTAAATGATATGGACCTCGTGACTCTTCCTGAAAAATACATCAAGAGGACCACACACCATGATCATGTGGGATTCATCTCAGGGATGCAAGGACGATACAACACTCGAAAATCCATCATCATCATCCACCATATCAACAAAAAGGACAAAAACCACATGACCATCTCCATACATGTTGAAAAAGCATTCAACAAAATTCAACACCCATTCATGATAAAAAGTCTCAACAAAATGGGTATAGAGGGCAAGTACCTCAACATAATTAAAGGCCACATACAACAAACCCACAGCCAACACTATTACACTTAACAGCAAGAAGCTGAAAGCTTTTCACCTAAGATCAGGAACAAGAGAAGGATTCCCACTCTCTTCCCTCTCATTCAACATAGTACTGGAGGTTTAGCCAAGACAATAAGGCAACACAAAGAAATAAAAGTCATCCAGATTGGTAAGGAAGAAGTCAAACTGTCACTGTTTGCAGATGACATGATATTGTACATAAAAAACCCTATAGAATCCACTCCAAAACTACTAGATCTAATATCTGAATTCAGCAAAGTTGTGGGATACAAAATTAAAATACAGAAATCTGTTGCATTCCTATACACTAATGACGAAATCGCAGAAAGAGAAATCAGGAAAACAATTCCATTCACATTTGCATCAAAAAGAATTAAATACCTAGGAATAAACCTAACCAAGCAAGTGAAAGACCTATACCCTGAAAACTACAAGACACTCTTAAGAGAAATTAAAGAGGACACTAAGAAATGGAAATTCATCCCATGCTCTTGGCTAGGAAGAATTAATAATGTCAAAATGGCCATCCTGCCTGAAGCAATCTACAGATTCAATGCAATGACTATCAAAATACCAAGAGCATTCTTCAACAGAACTGGAACAAATAGTTCTAAAATTCATATGGAACCACAAAAGACCCCGAATAGCCAAAGCAATCCTGAGAAGAAAGAATAAAGAAGGGGGGATCTTACTTCCCAACTTCAAGCTCTACTACAAAGCCACAGTAATCAAGACAATTTGGTACTGGCACAAGAACAAACCCATAGATTAATGTAACTGAACAGAGAGTCCAGATATTAACCCAAGTATATACGGTCAATTAATAAATGATAAAGGAGCCATGGATATACAATGGAAATGACAGCCTCTTCAACAGCTGTTGTTGGCAAAACTGGACAGCTACATGTAAGAGAACAAAACTGGATTACTGTTTAACTCCATACACAAACGTAAACTCAAAATGGATCAAACACCTGAATGTAAGTCATGAAACCAAACAACTCTTAGAAAAAAATACAGGCAAAAATCTCTTGAACATAAACATGAATAACTTCTTCATGAACATATCTCCCAGGCAAGGGAAACAAAAGCAAAAATGAACAAGTGGGACTATATCAAACTAAAAAGCTTCCATATAGCAAAGGACACCATCACTAGAACAAAAAGACATCCTATTGTATGGGAGAATATATTCATAAATGACATATCCAATAAGGGGCTGACATCCAAAATACATAAAGAGCTCACGCACCTCAACAAATAAAAAGCAAATAAGCTAATTAAAAAATGGGCAAAGGATCTGAGCAGTCACTTCTCCAAAGAAATTCAGATGGCCAACAGGCACATGAAAAGATGCTCCACATTGCTAATCATCAGAGAAATGCAAATTAAAACCACAATGAGATATCACCTCACACCAGTTAGGATGGCCAACATCCAAAAGACAGACAACAACAAATGTTGGCCACGATGTGGAGAAAGGGGAACCCTCCAACAATGCTGGTGGGAATGTAAACTAGTTCAACCATTGTGGAAAGCAGTATGGAGGTTCCTCAAAAAACTCAAAATAGAAATACCATTTGACACAGGAATTCCACTCTAGGAATTCAGCCTAAGAATGCAGCAGCCCAGACTGAAAAAGATATATGCACCCCTATGTTTATCGCAGCACTATTTACAATAGCCAAAACATGGAAGCAACCTAAGTGTCCATCAGTAGATGAATGAATAAAGATATGGTACACATACACAATGGAATATTATTCAGCCACAAGAAGAAAACAAATCCTACCATCTGCAACAACATAGATGGAGTTAGAGGGTATTATTCTCAGTGAAATAAGTCAGGTGGAGAAAGACAGGTACCAAATGATTTCACTCATCTGTGGAGTATAAGAACAAAACAAAAGCTGAAGGAACAAACCAGCAGCAGACTCAAAGAACCTAAGAATGGACTAACAGATACCAAAGGGAAAGGGACTGGGGACGATGGGTGGGAAGGGAGGGATGGGGGAAAAGGGGGCATTATGATTAACACACGTAATGTAGGTGGAGGGGCACGGGGAAGGCAGTATAACACAGAGAAGCAAGTAGGGACTCTACAGCATCTTACTATGCTGCTAGACAGTGACTGTAAGGGGGTATGTGGTGGGGACTTCATAATGGGGGGAGTCTAGTAACCATAATGTTGCTTATTGTACAGTAATGGTACCAAAATAAAAATAAATAAATAAATAAATAGAAATGAGCATCAAAGAACAGAAATTGAACAACTCCAAAAAAAGTCTAGCCAAAAGAATTCAAAGTTAAATCGTGAGATTATATACTTTATTTTCCCTAAGTGATAATTCACTAAATGACCACTTTTCATAACAAAGATACACTCTTTAAGATACATTCTGAAAACTTCTTTAACTATAAAGCTTTAAACCAAATGATGATACTAGCTATACTACACACACACACACACACACACACACTTGCTTTCCTGCACTCTAGTGGAAAACTTGTGTGGCTAAAGGAGCTTTTGTTTGTATTATAATACAAAGGATAGAAAAGAAATGCAATCTTTAAGAATCTTTTAGAATTCACTTCCATCTTAAGAAAGGCTAAATGGGTTCAAAGGAATCACCGTTCCGTTCAAGAATCAAGCAGTATTTCCATGCTCTCCAAAGAAACAATCCCTCCCAAGAAAACACATACAGTTGACCCATGAACAACATGGGTGTTAGGGCACCGAACCCCTCATGAAGTCAAAAATCCACACGTAACTTTTTTGACTCCCCCAAAACTTAAGTAATAGTATACTCTTGACCGGAAGCCTTACTCATAACATAAACAACTGATTAACATATATTTTGTATGTTGTATCTTTACATACTGTACTCTTAGACAATAAAGTAAGTGAGAAGGAAAACTTTTTATCAAATTATTGCAAATCTCCAATACATTTTTCCAATATATTTATTGCAAAAAAATCCATGTGTAAGTGGACCCACACCATTCAAACCCATGTTGTTGAAGGGTCAAATGTATAGTGAATTTATGATTAGTGATTATTTTGTTTATTAACAATATACAACTATTTCATTTCTTATTACTTAAATATTTACTCTTTAAACATTTCTCTTACAGCCTTAACACAACGGTAAAAAGAAGAAAAACAAAACTGGGTTGTAACATGTAAGGAAGCCACATAAAATTGATCTCATTTATCCATGGTAACTTATAAAAACTCAGTACCATCACTCTACTCCAGATATAAAACTGCTATAACTTTTCATTTATATCACACCCTTCTTCTAAAGAATATCAAGGGCTTTCACATTTATCATCTCACTTGTTTGAACTTATTAAATGAATCTTAGCATCTTTACATACCTGGTAAAGAACTTAGGCCCAGTGAAATTAAAAGAGTTGCCAAAGGTGAGATATAATAGTGAGCATATTAAAGGAAGAAACCATCGGAAACTCATCTCTGAACCATATCCATTTCCCAACCTATATTTAGCCATAAAACAAGCTAAATCATAAACACTTCATAGTGTTAGCTGAATTTTGAAAACTAGAACTCAAGGCAAAATCCTAAGCTTGATCTTCCTCTTGTTGCTTCCTAAGTAATAAGAAAGAAGTTTAAAATGCATAGATCAGATTGTTGACTGTATCATTTCACTCATTAGCCAATGAAACAAAATGGTTAATAATGAAATTTAATAAATTTATGCCTACAAAAAACATATGGTCCAATATTTTTATTAAAGAATACTCCTCAAAATGTTGAGGTGACAAAAAAAACAGCATCACCAAAGGAAACATAAAATCAAGTGTATTATAAATTTCAGTCTTTTTCCAACCAACATAATATAATAACTAATTTACTTTCTTAATCTACCTCATACAAAAGCAAAATAACAATCACTGACGTTATCATTTACACAAAAGTATGGCCCCTAAGGATTTCAATATTACAGTTTCTCTTTAAAATAAAAAATTTTTAAAGGAATATAGAAAACATAAAATGCCAGGAAGAATAAGGTCATCTAATTATCTACAGGAAGGAAAATAATAAAGAGATATTTTACAATAAAATCAGAGCTAGGTACTTGAAAATATGGTAGGATTATTTCTTGAAAAGATCCGGTAACCTTTGTAAAATCCAAAAGTGCCAGAAATACCAGACTGAAGGAAGCCTATTTTCTCGGAAAAGATTTAGAAAATATCAACTGCCCATTTACAATTCAGAGAATGAGGAAAATGATGAACAGATGAGAAGAACCATAACGGAAACTAACTGAATGTTCTATATTCCAACAGCCACTCCAATCTCTACTGGAATATTCACAAACCCTCCCATCCCCAGCTAAGCAAACATGCAAATATGACCACTAAGCTCCATTTTCCAGGGACATTAGTAGACGTACAACAGCTACTTGCTATACAACAGACCCAGTCAGCAGTACAGAAGTTCACAGCTTCAGCGAAGTTGTAGCCCTGATTAAATCCAGAATGATAGGCCCGAGGAAATGTCACAACAAACTCGCCAGCACACTGATTGGTCCTGTATACCTAAATGCAAATTAGGAACAGGGATACAAAACAAAATAAAAAAAAAAAAAAAGGAGATAGACTTTATCAATTTCAGAAGCATTTTTTAAAATGGGAAACAATAAAGCATTAACCTACCCAATATCAGAAAATAGTGTCAGAGTTTTTAAGAACCAGCCAGCATTCTACCTGCTTAATATAGTCACTGATAACAAATTTTAACAACTCTTAACAAAAATTACTGGCCAAAGGAAATTTTCAGAGAAAATGTTACTGTCACCAAGCTACTAGTGTCCCAACCTGACAAAATTTTTACAAGAGAATTTTTCTTTTATTCCTTTTATTCTTGTGTTGTAAGAGTGGTAAAGGATGCAATTTCCTCGTACTTTTTTTGTAAACTAGTTGATTAGCTCTTATGTAATATGGAGATATCCCAAAACTCAGTTTTCTTGAATCTTATTTTGCTTTACAATAATACTAATGTCTTTCGAAGAGTCACAGATTCTAGTATAAATTTATTCTTTGAAGATAAAGTAACTCTACTATTTATTACTCAACCTATTTAAGGTTGCGATGAATATTTGACTACATGTAGCAAATGTAGTCACTTATTAAATTTATACTTTATCAGGTATGAGGGGAGCTTACATTTAATATCATTTTCAAAACTAAGTTGGAAAGTAGAAGAGGTATTCATAGTAGTTTTACTTCATTATTTCAAGTGAAAAAAAAAGTTGTGAAATCTTGTATGAAGTATGATCTCCAAAAGTATAAGCGTTATTACAACTACCACTTCAAATAATTATACTTTGGTTAAATAGGGATAATAAACAATATAAGGTTTGTTAAAACCAGGATATAATGGCTTACTAAAAACAGAAAGCCATTTTACTAGACAGCCATACATAAAGTATGATTCATACTTTAAAACACCCCTTTCTTAAATGAATGTTATTCCATCCTGATTCTAAATTCTAACTTGTTAGAAGACGACACGATCTTTTACTTCCAGTTACAAAACAAAACTTATGTTGTGACTGTACCTACTCAAAAGCCAACATAACTTTAAAAATACCGAAGGGAGACACAAAAAGACTCACAGGCACACCATGTTCCATTAGAACATTGGGGTTCATGATGGTGACTAGCTGATGTAGGAGATCAGGCTGGGATTCAAATAATTCAGGGGCCAGCTCCCTCATCACCTCCTCCAGTTGTTCGGCAGCATGAGATGGCACACCATACCATGTCTTCGGCTCCCCCCTAGCAAATGAAATAACTGTTTAGCTAGGCAGAGAGCATGGTGCCAATGAGTCCAAGGCCTTTGATTCAAATCCACTAAACTGTAATTAATAACTGTCTTCTTACATGGCCACAGATTATATGCCCTGAATCCTGGCAACTATCCCATAAATCTGTGCTGTTGTTCATAATAGGAGACAAGGAAAGAGTATATGGATAGGCACATTTATACTTACCACTAGTGTTAGAAAAGCAATTCAAAGCACATAAACTTCTTAATGTTTTAAGGTGGATCAGTAAATAGTATCTTCAAAAAGGAAAGATACTATATGAAAAGAAAGCACTGTTCACGGATACTGACACACTACCTTGATACACAGGTCCACTGGACATTCCAATTATCCCCACAATGATGAAAAGTAAAAGTCAATGCTCTCTAGAGTACCTTTCTATAACTTCATTAAGTTCAATTTTGCTATCCTAAGAAATAAGCCAAGGCTAGGAATGTTGAAACCTTGAAAAGAGTTCTACCTACAAATTTTAGGTAGCAAAATTTTAGCATCATAAATGCACTAGGCTTTAGTGGACTAGAACTCAACTATAATACTAAGCTGTACTCCTGGGAAATAGATTTAATTATTCACGCTATTTATAGAATTGCTGAATCTCTTAATCCTAATATAATTCACAGTGCTATACCTAATAGAACTTACTGTGATAATAAAAATATTCTGTATCTATGATGGCCAATAGAGAGGGGCCCTAGTCATATGTGACTATATATAAAGTACTTGAAATGTGGTAAGTGAAACTCAAAAAGTACTTTTAATTTTACTTCATCTTAACATAGCCACATGTGGCTAGCAGCTCTAGTATTACACAGCACAGAGATGAAGCAGAGAAAGAAAAGCGCTTGAGTTTTCTACTGCACAGCATGAACTGAATAACAGTTTCCAAATGTAGACAGAAATATCATTCAGTTAAGATTATACTTAACTTAAAAGAAATTGGGTAAATAAAAGTTGTAAGATACAAAAAAATTTTAGTAAAAGAATTTAATCAACACACATGTATCTTAGGCATTTTTAGGGACTATGTTGTTAAATAGGAAAAAGTTATTTGAAAATTTCAAATTCTGAAGGTTTGGTTACATCTTAATTATATCAACTTTAAACATCCAACCTTGTATATCAGCAGATAAACCAAAATAATTTTCATGTATACCAAATAAATATCATTTGTTCTAAAACTCTAGGCTCTGCTGCATGCATATGTTTTAAAAGGGAAGTTATTTAAGATGTTGCATCCTTAGGCCTCTGCACTTCTCTCCTCAATATATTTTCCTACTTTGGGGTAGGAAATCAACTTTTAAAGTCAATTTTCCCTAATTTATCACCTCATATTATTACACCTTCAAAAAGGTTACAAAGTACGTATGCTATTAAAGGTCGCACATACCAGTGCAAGTAGTTGATGGAATAACTCCAGTGGTCTTCAATATGCCAGCAAAAAGAAGAGAAACACATTCCCACATAAAGCCAGGGCACCTTCATACCAGAGATGTCTACATTAATATGTGCAAGAACAGACTGCTCTAGGACAGGCATGTTATTCAAGTTCCAACCAGAAAGGGCATATTCCTATAAAAAAAATGTAAATGAGATATCAGAAATAACAAGTACCTAAATGAAACCTCAGAGGAGTCTTCAAAAAGAAAAGTGAAAATTTTATAGTATTTAAAATAATCTAGCCCACAAAACCTGTGCTCTTTGCTCTCTATTACCTGTAACACATATACCTAAATATTTAATCTTTTTACATAAGTGGTATTTAGACATAGACATCCCTTTAATTGTTGCAGATACTCTTGCTTTATTCCGATGCAAATAAGCAACACTTTTTACTACTCTCCCCACCTCCACAGCTCATCAGTAAAATCATGGTAGACTCCTATTAAAAGGTTGCCATTATATTTCTACTTTATCCCCAAGTGTCTTCCCAAAATGTTTATCACTGTATTTGTAGAATGATGCCAGATATTATGAAAACAAAACATAGCAAGAAACATAATTGCAAATTTGTGGCAGCACTCCAGACTGACATGATGTAGAAAGTCACTACTACAACCTCTCCCCTACAAGCACATCTAGAAGTAATACACAAATTATAATAAAAAAGAAAATTTCACAGATGTTCCCAAAAGAAAGAATTCCCAGTTTCCAGAAACAAAGGAAGGAAACAAAGCTAGGATGAAAAAGGAAAACTGTTGTCTGATTTTTCATAGACATTTCTAACCGGATATAATCAGTCTGCAAGTTTCAAACATCCACCCCTGAAGCCTTACAAGGCAAAGACTTAAAAGTGCTTAACATTCTTGCGGAAAGCAGTTCCCAAAGTGGGGTCTAGAGAGTCCAAGACTATTTCAGGCGCTCTGCAGAGTCAAATTATTTTCATAATAATTCTAAGATGTAATTTGCCTTTTATTCTCATTCTTTTAAGAATGCAGTTAGTTTTCCAGAGGATAAATGAGATATGACATGGCAACAGACTGAATGCAGAAAGAGACAATAGAATCTACCTGCCTTCTACTAGAAGGGTGATAAATGCTGCACCTGGATGCCAGGTATTGACGGAAGGAGGGAAGTTCATTATTATGTTACTTTTTATACATTTGAAATTTTCTATAATATGGAGTTTAAAAATAACACCTCAAAGTAAAATATTAAACAGCTGATGACAAAGTTGGAGAGAGAATCTCTGAGCTAGAAGACAGATTTGAGAATATGATCCATAATGCAGCACAGAAAAATGGAAACAGGGCATTTGCAGGCAAGGAAAACAAAAGCAAAAAAAACAAGTGGGACTAAATCAAATTAAGCAGCCCTGCGCAGCAAAGGAAATCCTCAACAAAATGAAAAGGCAATCTACTAAATAGGAGAAGATACTCACAAGTATGTCTGATAAAGGGTTACTATACAAAATACAAGACATTAACACAATTTAACACCCAAAACCACCCCCCTGCTGCAAATAATCTGATTAAGAAATGGACAGAGGAACTAAATAAACATCTTTCCCAAGAAGACATACAGATGGCTAACAGACTCACGAAAAAGAAACTCAACAGCATCAGGGAAATGCAAATCAAAACCACAAGGAGTATCACCACATAAATGTCCGAACGGTATCAAAAAGACAAGAAATAAAGAGTTGGTGAAGAAGTAAAGGAAACCTTTCTCATCTGTGGTTGGAAAGCAAATTGGTACAGCTACTACAGAAAACAGTACGGAGGTTTAAAAAACTAAAAAAGGAAATACCATACAATCCAGTAGTTTCACTTCTGGATATTTACACAAAGAAAATAAAAACACTAAATTAAAGTAATACACACACAACTATGTTTATTGCAGCATTACTTACAATAGCCAAGATATGTAGGCAACCCAGGTTTCCATCAATAGGTGAATGGATAAAGAAAATGTGGTATATACACACAGTGGAGTACTACTCAGCTATAAAAATGAACGAAATCTTGCCATTTGCAAAAACATGGATAGTCCTAGAAGGTATTATGCTAAGTGAAATAAGTTAGACAAATAAAGATAAATACCATATAAATCCTACAAAACAAAAACACAGAAATAACTACATAAAAAATCCTAAAGAATCTACTCCAAAACTACTAGATCTAATATCTGAATTCAGCAAAGTTGTGGGATTCAAAATTAAAATACAGAAGTCTGTTGCATTCCTATACACTAATGATGAAATCGCAGAAAGAGAAATCAGGAAAACAATTCCATTCACATCTGCATCAAAAAGAATTAAATACCTAGGAATAAACCTAACCAAGCAAGTGAAAGACCTATACCCTGAAAACTACAAGACACTCTTAAGAGAAATTAAAGAGGACACTAAGAAATGGAAATTCATCCCATGCTCTTGGCTAAGAAGAATTAATATTGTCAAAATGGCCATCCTGCCTGATGCAATCTACAGATTCAATGCAATGACTATCAAAATACCAAGAGCATTCTTCAACAGAACTAGAGCAAATAGTTCTAAAATTCATATGGAATGACCAAAGACCCCAAATAGCCAAAGCAATCCTGAGAAGGAAGAATAAAGAAGGGGGAATTATGCTCCCTGACTTCAAGCTCTACTACAAAGCCACAGTAATCAAGACAATTTGGTACTGGCACAAGAACAGACCCATAGACAAGTGGAACAAAACAGAGAGTGCAGATATTAACCCAAGCATATATGGTCAATTAATAAATGATAAAGGAGCCATGGATATACAATAGGGAAACAATAGCCTCTTCAACAGCTGGTGTTGGCAAAACTGGACAGCTACATGTAAGAGAACAAAACTGGATTACTGTCTAACTCCATACACAAAAGTAAACTCAAAATGGATCAAACACCTGAATGTAAGTCATGAAACCAAACAACTCTTAGAAAACAATACAGGCAAAAATCTCTTGGACATAAACATGAGCAACTTCTTCATGAACATATCTCCCCAGGCAAGGGAAACAAAAGCAAAAATGAACAAGTGGGACTATATCAAACTAAAAAGCTTCCATACAGCGAAGAACACCATCACTACAACAAAAAGACATCCTACAGTATGGGAGAATATATTCATAAATGACATATCCGATTAGGGTTGACATTCAAATTATATAAGGAGCTCACACACCTCAACAAACAAAAGCAAATAAGCCAATGAAAAAATGGGCAGAGGAGCTGAACAGACACTTCTCCAAAGAAGAAATTCAGATGGCCAACAGGCACATGAAAAGATGCTCCACATTGCTAATCATCAGAGAAATGCAAATTAAAACCACAATGAGATATCACCTCACACCAGTTAGGATGGCCACCATCCAAAAGACAGACAACAACAAATGTTGGCCAGGATGTGGAGAAAGGGGAACCCTCCTACAATGCTGGTGGGAATGTAAACTAGTTCAACCATGTGGAAAGCAGTATGGAGGTTCCTCAAAAAACTCAAAATAGAAATACCATTTGACCCAGGAATTCCACTCCTAGGAATTCATCTTAAGAATGCAGCAGCCCAGGCTGAAAAAGACATATGCACCCCTATGTTTATTGTAGCACTATTTACAATAGCCAAAACATGGAAGCAACCTAACTGTTTATCAGTAGATGAATGGATAAAGAAGAAGTGGTATATATACACAATGGAATATTATTCAGCTGTAAGAAGAAAACAAATCCTACCATTTGCAACAACATGGATGGAGCTAGAGGGTATTATGCTCAGTGAAATAAGCCAGGCAGAGAAAGACAAGTACCAAATGATTTCACTCATCTGTGGAGTATAACAACAAAGGAAAAAAATGAAGGAACAAAACGGCAGCAGACTCACAGAACCCAAGAATGGACTACCAGTTACCAAAGGGAAAGGGACTGGGGAGGATGGGTGGGAAGGGAGAGATAAGGGAAAAAAGGGGCATTATGATTAGCATACATAATGTAGCGGGGGGACACGGGAAAGGCAGTATATACAGAGAAGACAAGTAATGATTCTATAGCACCTTACTATGCTAATGGACAGTGACTGTAATGGAGTACATTGGGGGGACTTGATAATAGGGGGAGTCTAGTAACCATAATGCTGTTCAAGTAATTGTACATTAAAGATATCAAAAAAAAACAAATACAGAGAACTAGTGGCTGTCAGAGCAAATACATGGGTAGGTGAAGGGTTATTAAGAAAGACAAAATTTCAATTAAAAATAAGTCATGAAGATGATAGGTACAGCATAGGGATTATAGTCGATAATACTGTAGTAACTTTGGTGACAGATGGTAACTGTATTTGTCATAGTATAATGTCAAATTGCTATGTTGTACATTAAAGTAGTATTATGCCAACTATGTTTCTATTAAAATTGAAGTCACAGAGCACAGAATTACAAAGTCCAAAATAGGTTTATCTAGGGATTCTAAAAATAAGTAGAGACATGATTCCTACCCTCAAGGCTTTCAAAAAATACTACTCGGTAACAATTTTCTGTTGGTTGGTCAGCTGACTGAAAAAAATAAATAAATCTTGGAGAAGAGACAAAGCCTACATATAAAAACTTTCAAAATAAGGCAATATATGTTACACTCCAAACACAGATAAAGGAGTAAATTCCATAGTTCTTCAGAGGACAACAAAATAGCAATCATGATGTATTTGTATCATTTTCAGAAATATTTATAGAAAACAAAGAACCTGAGTAGAGCTTGGAAGAATAGAAATATTTGAAGAGCTAATGATAGACAGGTCTGGCTGGTAAAGGGGAAAAGTGGAACAGTCATAGTCAAATAAGGAAATAAGACTAGAAAAGAAGATTGGATCTTTACTCTTAAGTTTGAAACTGAGAAGCTTGGATTTTATCCTATATTCAAAAGGGGAAATAAAACAAATTTTGAAAAATAAAACAATATGACAAAAAGTACCCTAAATATCTTTAAATATTTGATTATGGAAAATTCCAAACATAAATAAAAGTGGACAGAACTGCATAATGAACTCCCAAAGATCCATCTATCTTAAAATTTTAAGTGAAACAATGTATATGAGCAAGACTATAGAGAAAAGCAAGCAAAAAACAACATA